ATTTTTAGAAAAATAAAATTAATATTTACAAACTTAAATTTAAAATAAATTGTTAGTAATTTTGGATCTAAATTATTTTTCAACTAAATAAAAATTTATTTTAGTAAAAAAACTCTGCATTAGATTATTTTTCAGATGTATGAATGAATACGTTCAATTCCTTCGCCGCTACTCCAATCGAGCGTACTACAATGCACTTTATTTATTTATTTATTTATTTATAAATTATCATAAAGGGCGCGGCATGGTCAAACAAATGCGTGGCTTGTAAATGAGAGATTTTTCCTTGGAAGCATCCGGTAATTTCTAGCACGCCTTGACCTTCCTCTCTTTTCTCTATCGAAATATATGTGCTCATTTTCATTTTATTTTGATCTTTAAATAGACACTTATTTTTAGGTGATATCTGCATTCGGTTATGTTCAAACAGACTATGTTATGTCTAATGTAACAATTTTCTCGAATTTTTTTTAATTTTATTTTCTGAAGAATTTTTCTTGAACTGTGAATAGTTTGTATAAAATTCTAATAAGGACAACCTATATTGTATGTATGTATAATATATAATATGAGCAAGACGACACATTCGCAGTCGATTTTGTACGACTCCCTCGGGGCTTTCGGACCTTTGACTGGTCCATAATAGATATGAGATGGATGGTCTTGTTCTTTATGGTCTTTATTGAAAGCTGGCTACTCGGGATGAATAATTTAAAATTAAGCTTTGAATAATTTTATTTTACACTTTGAAAAATTTTTAAGCTAAGAGGATTTTTATGATAAAAAAAATCTGGAATTTTATTAGATAAAAAGATTGTAAGTTTTTTTTTTATAATACTTTTTTAATTTAACTCTTAAAAAATGGTCAAAAATTTTTTGATTAATGATTATTGATCAGAAATTAGAATCCACATTTTTTTTGCTAGAAAAAAAAATTTTTTATACAAAATTAAATAATTAGAAAAACGACATTTTAAATTCATGATAATTTTTTATTTTGTCTTTATAAGATAAAATTATTAAAAAAAAATAGCAACTTTACAGTCACTATGTGACTGCCGTGACTTGTGAATTATAAATAATTAAAATTTTGCTGTATTAAATAATGACTTTTGTTAAATTGCACTGTACTTTTTGAACTATTGACGTTTTTAAAGATATAAGCTCATCCCGAAGTTACACTCATCAAGAGCTTTCATTTGAGTACCCACATGCATTTTGATATATTTTTTATATATACATATATATGAATATATATAAATATATGAAAAGTTGATGTGGGTACTCAAATGAAAGATCTTGATGAGTGTAACATAGGGATGAGCTTATATATTTAAAAATGTCAAAAGTTCACAAGATACAAGGTTATTTGTAAATTGTACTGTACTTTCTTAACTATTGACGTTTTTAAAGATATAAGCTCATCCCAATGTTACACTCATTAAAACCTTTCATTTGAGTATCCACATGCATTTTGATATATTTTTCATATATACATATATGTATAATATATATAAATATACAAAAAAATTGATGTGGGTACTCAAATGAAAGGTCTTGATGAGTGTAACATCGGGATGAGCTTATATCTTTAAAAATGTCAATAGTCCACGAGATATATCGTAATGCTCTAAGAAGGCACAAAGTCAAGTCAAGACCTTTTCAATTACTCCAAATTTCACTAAAAAAACCGATTTTATCATATTAATATCTTGGAAATAAAATTTTTCTTATTTTCTTAGTAATATAGATGACTCAATTTTTTTTCATTTATTAAAAAACTACGTAAAAATTTCCCCAGAAAATTTACTCTAAATTTCATAAATTTTTCAAAGAATAATGCAATAAAAATTATTAACACTGCTCACTATCTCTCCTCCGTTTAATTTCATCCTAACATTAATAAAAATTAAAAGTTATAATTAAAATAAACTTAATAAGCTTTTGATCTTCTGTCAAAAGTTTTAAAACAAAGTTTAAAAAATTCAAACAGCATTAAAAAATAATGAAATATTTTTTATCACCAATTACGGGCAAAAGTTTTTTAACGTCATAACATAATATATCCTTATCTTAATGTTTATGGCAAACAAGATAAGTACAACGATCACAGTTGCCATTATTATTATTATAACAATTATAATATAAGTTAAGTAGCATAAAAGTGTTTGATCGCAATTTCAGATCACGTTTCCGCGGACTACCGTCTAAGTTAAATTATTTTAAAATCACGAGTTTCTATAATTCATATTATATGTCATGTGTTATGTTTAAGTAGAACTCAGATCAACGCGGTCAATTTCCTTGGAATGAAATAGCGGAAGGATATAAGAGTTTTTAACAAAAAGTTTTGTCGGATAAGTATCTTACGGGGGTATTGAGGTGGAAATTAAAGAGCTCGGGAGAACTTTATATTAGAATGAGCAGATATAAGAGTATAGAGGCGAGCCAACACACGGTGTGCTGTTGTAAAACGGTAACGAGCTTCACCCATACATATTTAACTCCCAATGTGGATGTTGATGAGAATAAGTCTGTGCAAAAGGCTCTGTATGTATGACTAGCACTTGAGGGAGTTTATAACGACACCTGGCACGTGACTCGCCAGAGTTGAGAACGCATTTGCTAGAACGACGTGTGGTGTGTGCTGTGTATAATAGTAATAGGAGTTAAGTCGTGTCTATATATATTTGTACTAATACTAATACAGATGAGACGAGAAGAGAACTATAGGATGAGCATTAAACCGCGACTAAATGTATTATGCATGTATGTTGTATGTAGTTTGTATGCTTGAAGATATACTACGGAGTAACTCAAGTGAAAATGAGCTAACTTGACAACAGCTTTTACTTATTCATCTTTTTATTTAGATAATTGATTTCATATTTTTAATGCTTCTGGATACTAATACTAATAAGTGAATGCTTACTGGAATGCTAAACAATTTCTAGTTTGTTGATGGGGGTTTTTTTTATGTTTAATCAACAGTTTTAAATTTATTTGATTTGTTATTATAATTTATAATAATTATAATAATAAATAAAAAGTATTATTGATTAAAAATAAGAAAATTTTTTAATTATTTTCTTGATATTAGAATCACAATTTATAAAAACAGAATAAAAAATTCTTAATTTGAGGGAAAATTTTCTTTAAAAGGAAGACTAAAATTTTATTAAAGTAATAGTTCGATCAATTAAAACCTGAAAATAACTTATGAGGATGATAAAACTGCGTCGAATGCCGCCAACGGCGTGAAAATCGGTTAATCCATTCAAAAGTTATTGCGGTTTGAAAATTCCAAAAATAGTATTCTATGAAACTTCTATCAGACTTTTGAGCTGGGAGAGCTCAAATGCATAGAAATATTATCTCTTTGAACTCAGCGAGCTAAAAATATCACATAAATTATATTTTGAGCTCAAAAATCTCAAAAATGTCATAAGTACAATTTCAAGTGTCCAGGTATGGAATTAGCGGGAAGTTGCAGGGATGCCCTTTAGGGTGAACCGTTTTTCTAATTTTTTTATGTAGTTTTAGTACTTTTAAAATAAATTAAAAATATTATACTTTCCAGATATATTCGTCTAAATATATCATTAAATTTTGGTCATTTTCAATGTAAAGTGTTAATTTTCAAAAATTATTGACTTAGAGGAAAATTTTCTTCTAAGACTAAAATTTTATTGAAATAAAATTTAAAAAAAAAATTTTTTTTGTTGCTTAAAAATTACTTTAGTATTTCTCTAAAATTTATTGACGTAAAAAATTCTATTTTCTTATGTAGTTAAGGGATTGTTAAAATAAAATTAAAAAATAATATTTATCTGAATATATCAATAAATTTGTTAAATTTTAATCATTTTCAATGTAAAATGTCAGTGCAGTTTCGGTACTTTTCAAATAAATTAAAAAAACAATATTTAACCCAGTTATTCATCTGAATATATAATTAAATTTGTTAAATTTTATTAATTTTTAATGTAAAATATCAAAATGTTCAATAAAGAAAAAAAATGTCAAATTTATTTTTGATTCCCTTTTATTTATGAATATTTTATTTTAAAGAAGTCAATTTATTGAAAAATGTTGCAAAACTTTTAATTTCATTTAGAAATTCATTAAAATTTTTCATAAATAATAAAATACATCCATTTAAAGATAAAAAAATCAAAAATTGCAATGATCGACCTTTCAATATTAATATCAAGGGCTTAAACTTTCACAAAAATTTTTTTTTATCATTCTAAATAATATATTTTAAATATATCTTAGAAATAGAAGAGTAAATATTTGATTTTTTGGTTCAGTCTAATAAAAATTGTTCAAAAATATAAAAAACAAACCAAAAAATCTCTTCTAACTTCACTAGTATACAATAATTGAGGAGCTTATTTTCAAAAGGGTATCTTTTGATTTTTGATTAATCGAGACAAAAAACTAGTTATCTTCAATTATAAATATTTGTATTGAACTTTTTTTAATTTAGCTATAAAGTGCAATCGGTTATGAAGCTGCAATTCGATTTTCATTTATAAATGTTCATAATTCTCGAAGTAATTAGTATTTAAAAGTTCAGAAAAGTGGTATTTTAAAATATGAAAAGATACCCTTTTGAAAATCAGCTCCTCAATTATTTTTGAACATTTATAATTAATAAAAAAACATTATTCAAAATTAACTACCCTCCTGCAAAAAACCAAAAATTTTCTTTATTTAATTTTCAAATATTTCCCTAATTTAATTTTCAATTAAAAATATTCCTTCTCAAAAATCTTCCTTGTTTTCAGCACCTAAAAATTTCAGACTAAACACCTGAATTAAATTCAATTTTCTAAGCAGAGTAGTAGACTCTTGACTCACTTCAATTTAAAACTTTTTAATCACTACAAGGGACTCAAGAGGTCACTTGTAAGCTGTTTGCTCACAAATTACAATAATCACGATTTATAATCATCATAAATACAAGGTAGGTATTAACGAAATTGTTTAACGAGTTACAACGGTGCGTTTTCTTCCGGATGTTTCTTACAACCTGGGAAGCAAAAATAACAACAAAAAAAAATAATGTTAATGTTAAGGAAGGCACTTTCGTGCAGAAGCGTGAAAATTACCTCTAAGTAAGTAGGCGGCTAGCATCATGTCCTTCAATTGCGGCAGATACAGACCGTTTAGCAACCCGTAGTTTGCATAGTCGATGCTTGAGTTTTGACTACAGTTTAATCCATTTATATTGAGGTAATTTAATTGATGGAGCGATGATAAGTGACACGGGTGGCTTAATCCGTGATCCTCCGGCACTTTCCGCTCGCCTAGGAGCTCGCATATTTTGCAGTGATTTTTAGTCATTTTTATTTTCAACACTTTTGATTTTTTTCGACTATTTAATAAATATTCATTCATTAAAATTACTACGAGCGGTGTTGTCGCAGTCGAGTTTAATTAATAGCCGAAGAGACTAATCGATTTAGTTTTGCTTTTCGTTATTGATTGTTCTTTTTTATTCTCGAGCGTGTAAGAAAGTTTGGCTGAGTATCAAGACGAAATTCGTTAAAAGTTTATGGGTCTCCCGTTTTGTTAACGTTTTCTTCAATCACCCGCACCAAGTTATACACGGAATACTGTTATGTGTGTAGTTATAGCTCTATAGCTGTAGATATAGATATAGATATAGATTGATAGAGAGGATCTTCTCTTTCACCCACCATCACAATCTCACGGCACTGTCTTTTACTTTATCTTTTTTTCTTTGGTTTTTTGTTTCGCGCTCCACACCCCCCAGCTAAACTCTTCTCGGTCTTGCTATTGCGTTATCAGTGTGGGATCAATAACTCTGGAGCGTAAGACTCTTCAGATATCGGCTCAAAGTTTCTTATTATTGTCCGAAGATATTCTTTTGATAGTATAATTTTTTATGGCTTTTATAAGTTCTGAGCTATAAATTTTGTTTTTAATTAAATTTTTTAATAATAAGGGGTAGTATGGTCACTTTTTATTTAAGAGACCATCTTGCCCCATATTAAATAAAAATTATTTTTATTACTTCAATTTTTTTTTTATTAAAAAAAAATTATGCGAAATAATAAAAATTATTGTTAAAAAAAAAAATGTGGGGTAATATGGTCAGTCAAATTTTTTTTTTATTTAAAAAAAAATATGAGAAGTAATATATGTTATTTAAAAAAAAAAATTTGGGGTAATATGGTCAGTCAAATTTAGGGGTGATTTAAAAAAAAATATGAGAAGTAATATATGTTATTTAAAAAAAAAAAATTTGGGGTAATATGGTCAGTCAAATTTTTTTTTTATTTAAAAAAAAATATGAGAAGTAATATATGTTATTTAAAAAAAAAAAATTTGGGGTAATATGGTCAGTCAAATTTTTTTTTTATTTAAAAAAAAATATGAGAAGTAATATATGTTATTTAAAAAAAAAAAATTTGGGGTAATATGGTCAGTCAAATTTTTTTTTTATTTAAAAAAAAATATGAGAAGTAATATATGTTATTTAAAAAAAAAAAATTTGGGGTAATATGGTCAGTCAAATTTTTTTTTTATTTAAAAAAAAATATGAGAAGTAATATATGTTATTTAAAAAAAAAAAATTTGGGGTAATATGGTCAGTCAAATTTTTTTTTTATTTAAAAAAAAATATGAGAAGTAATATATGTTATTTAAAAAAAAAAAATTTGGGGTAATATGGTCAGTCAAATTTAGGGGTGACCATTTTACCCCAAAATTTTTTTTTTATAAAAATTGCAGGTAGTAATTACATATCTAATTTTTAATAAGGATTTTTTTGCACAGTAAAAAATTTTGTCATTGCGTCAAAAAATTTTGGGTTAATAATTTTTATTAAAAAATGCAGCGTTATCTATTGATAGTACATTTAATTATGCAGATAGAAGTTATAGAAGGCGCCATCTATCAACAGTATGTTTAATTAACATAGCAGTTTTTGGATTGTTTAGATTTTTTATCTAAATTTAATCTATCACGCAAATTAATAAAATAAAATTGATATATTTTTTATAATATAAACTTAGATTTACAATTTAAAGTAATTGAAAATTATGTAACTGTGGATAGAAATTTCGGCTGTGAAAAAGTTGGCGCAACGAGCAGAATGTGTGCGCTTACACACGAGTATCAAAAGCGATATTTACTCAATTTCATACTGAATAAAGTAATTAATACAATATTTTGCGGTCAAAAAACGAATAGTCATATTATTCACGTAAAAATTAGTAAATACAAATATTTATTAATAAAAGATTTTATTTTTTCTACCAATAGTAATAATTCAGATATTTGATTAAATAATTGTGCAAATTATTAAGATTATTTTTTTAATTGGAAGGTATTGTTTTAGTGTTAAAAAAAACTGTAAAAATTATTGTTCAATGACATATAAAAAATAAAAATCAATTGTATCGTAAAGTTCCGACTTGAATATCTCATGAAAAATGTGATTCTACAATAAAATCACGTATTGAAGTTTTATTTCCATCTTAAACTTCACGAGTTTCATAAAAAGATTTAAAAAATTCACAGATTCTCTTCAATTTATCTCTTGAATTTTTTCACCCAATACTCTTCAATAATTTTCAATTAACATGACAAACCAAAACTAAACCTGCTATTGTATCTTTAAATATGTAACATTGATTTTCAATATTACACCTGACCTAAAAAGTTTTATTTCTTTATTTTTAGATAACTGGACAAATCGACTATTAAATTAAGTATTTTTACCGATAATTAATGGAATTATGACATTCAATATTGGGGATTTTATAGTACAAATATTTTTATTGCAATCACTAGTGAGTTTAATTAAATAACAAGAGTTAATTTAACAAAATATATTTATAGTAATTATGTTAAAAAAATTTTTTTGGCTTGATTAATTTTATTTTATGCTTCCTCTTTTCTACTAAATTAATTTCACCAGATGTTCGATGTTGGCGTTAATGAATTTAACATGAACATGTCAAAGTAGCACTATTACTTAAACATAGAATAGAATAGAATAGAATAGAATGTAAGTGTTTAATAAAATCCATCTCAATCTCAAACTGAGAACTAAACAGTGGTTGATGGTTGTTCTCTACAGTGTGGATATATTATATAGCAGTAAGACGATGAAATACTCGAGTCAGCAAATACGATAAGACACTCGATGTCTTACTTACTGCACACTCGATCCTCCGGCATGTGTCTGAGTGTTTGTAGTCAGTCTGTATCTGGCAGAGTCTGTGTGAGAGTGTGACAATCTAGATATTTATTGTACACAATATATAATATAGACCATTATTTTCCCCTTGTTTCTTTCGTTTTCGCGTGTTCATGGCATTGGAAAAAATAGTTCCCACACCGCTACCGATTCCTTGGCATGATGGCCTGTGATGAGCAAAGGGTGGAAAAATGACAACCACTTGTGTAAGGTCAAAGTGTTATGGCGATGGGGAGAGAAGCTGAAGTTGAAGAAAAGAAAGGCTTTACAAAGCCTACTGGTTTTATGATAATTAATGTGATATTAAATTTTGGGATTAAATGCTTATGGAAATAAAAACACTTAAGAAGGTTGAAGTAATTGATTGTTTTTTGGGAACATTTTGTTCTAAAAAAAAATTTGAGAGGGAGTTAATGAAAATATGGAAAAATTTCTTGACTAGAGAACAAAATTCTTGGCTCAAGAAAATTTTCGGGTGCCGAAGGAAAACCGAATTTGTGTTGGCCGAAGTAAAAATTTTTCGAGAAATTCTATTCTTGGTGGAAGTCATTTTTTTTTAATTCAAATTATCATAAATACTTGATGACAATAAATTTTTATATTTGATCAAGATTTTTAGACACTTTAGAGAAGCAGCGCCGACTACTTCAGCTGAGAAAAAAATTTTCTCACCTTGAGAAAATTTTTCTCTTGAATATTTGATACCCTTTTTATATTATTTTAGCGTGCAATTATACATATTGAATGAAAAAAAATGATGAAATATTATTTGATCTTCCCATTTGACATGTTAATCAATAAAAATATTCATGAAAATTTACTTTTATCTTTATATTTAATTTTTTGGAGCAAGAGAGAAATTTTCTCAAGACAAGAAAATTTACTTCTATCAAGAACTAAATTTTTTGGAGCAAGAGGCTGAATTTTCTCAAAACAACAAGATTTTCTTGACTTAAATAAATTTTCTTAGATCAAGTTACGTATTTCCTAAAACAAGAAAATTAATTTTGTTGAAATAAGTGAAATTTCTTGTCAAAAAATATTTTTTTTTGCTCAAGAAAATAATTAAGAAAAATATTTTCTTAGCCCAAGTGAACCTTTTTTTCTGTCTTTTTTGTAGAAGACTAAATTTTCTATAAAGAAAGTCTTTATCAATTTTATAGTATTTTTAAGTTTTAAGTCAGAATTTTGATAAAAAGTTTAAATGGAAAAGAAATTATGATTTAAAAATTATTGTAAATATTTGAAATTGATCTTCTGAAAAAAATATTGAAAATATGAAAAGATCTTTTTTGTAGGAAAATACATTTTCTATAAAAAAAAGTCTTTATAAATTTTATAGTACTTGATTTTTGAGTCAGAATTTTGATTTAAAAATTTAATAAGAAAAAAATTGCGCTTTAGTAATTATTTTATCAATTAGAAATTTAAATTTTGAAAAAAGGAAAAATTTGAAATAATTCAAATATTAATTTTGAAATAATGTTATTAATTAATAAATATTAAAAGAGAATTTTGCTCTAAAACATACATTTTATGAAATATTCACTATTTAGTAAATTATTTTTATTAAAAAAAATAGGAGTTATTTAAAATAGAGAGGTAGGAGTGTTAATACAACAAAAGCAGTCCCCAGTAAAAGGGAAACAGCCTTGCAACCCTCCAGGACGTATTTCTCGGGAATATAACAACGAACGAGAAAGTTTGTATCATACGAGAACTGATAAGCTGCCCTCCAGACTGTCCTGAGTCACACTTCCGGTCTTTCTAAATCACGGCACATTTTCTCAATGGAAAAAATTTATTCAAGACGGTTTTTATGTTCGAATAAATATACTCGACATTGCTAAATTTATTGGATTTTTTTTTCTTTTTCAAAATAACAAGACTTGTGAGCGTTTTTCTATTGTGAAATTTTTTATATAAAATTTTCTTGCTACCAAAAATTTCACTAAAAAATTCTTAGCATAATATAAATTAAAAGTATCGTTAAACATTCTATTATGTAACAGGTATGTTATGTATTCTCTACTCGACTTAACTAAATATAAACCGTATTAAACAAATGTATGCAAGTACAAGCACTACTAAGAGTATAACAAATTGTAAATAAAACACCGAGTGTAATGTTTTACCATCGTATAATAACAGTAATAAAATATATCTC